ACACACAGTGACTCACAGGGACACACACAGTGACTCACAGGGGGACACAGGGGGACACACAGTGATTGTCAGGGACGCACACAGTGACTCTCCAGGACACACACAATCACTAACAGGACACACACAGTGACTCTCCGGGACACAAACTCACAGACTCACAGTGACATGCTGTGATTCACAGTGACATTGGGAAACAGACAGTCCGGTGCTTGGTCACACAGCGCACACAGGCTTACAGATATGTTGATTGGCACCATCAGCCATGTAGGCAGTATGACCCAGAAGAACATTACAGGGCATATACTGAACCACTGTCAGAAACACACAGAGTCCATCCAAGATACAGGAGCTCATACGTGGCCAAACGGACACAGGAAAAATAAAAATTCATGGGTTTCACCACTTCTAGAACATGTATAAGCTTTGGTATTTATCCATGACAAACTATTTGTTTCACAGAACTATCAAGAATAATATCTGCAATATTGCAAGTATTAATGCACAACAGAAAAAAAAAGAAAGAATTGTGTAAAATGTAGAACTAAAGTGTGTTAAACAAGCAAAATTAAGCAAATTTCTGAAAAGACTGTCATTGCAGAAGTCAGATTCTGTGTAGTGAGAATTTCAGATGTGTGCAGACATTCTGGACCTCAACGCTTTGAATTGTCTCATGATCAGCTTCACAGCATGTGTGTACTTCCTTGCCCTGTAGTAAGCTCTGCAAATGTACTGCCACTGACCCAGCATTTAAACAAGTGCAAGACACTTAAATCCAAGGTCCATCCAGAGTTTATGTTTGTGCTAGACCAAAAGTTAATGATGTAACACAAACCCGCTATTAAGGTGTCTGCTCTGTCTGCTGAGGGCTGGAAGATAAGTCACCAAGTGCAACTGAGACCAGAGTCAACAGAGCCATAAAATCAAGAATTTCCTGATACATACTGTAGTACTAATATCTCTGAAAGTCAAGCAAACACGCCCTTAAAAACGAAAAGCAGTAACAGTGCCTTCTCAATGAGCATTCAAATATGGGCAGAACCATTTTTAACACACAACAATGCAATTCTATGATGAAATTCATGCAAGATAGCTTTTATCATGAAATAAAACTTATATTAGACAAATCAATAACTCTTTTGTCAATGTTTGTGAACTTTACCACAAAAAAAATGTATAAGTCAGTCCAATGGCAAAACATTTGCTTTTTCCACAATACATGGGCAGACAGCAGGGATCTGGCAGGGCTGCTCAGCCCAGGACCAATTTATATCTACTTTAAATTATTACAGATCGGACTATATCAGTTAATATCTCTGCGAGTCGTTTGCACAACACATGCTTTCAACAGTGCCTGGTTAATCCAGGTTAATGCCCTACCTTTTCATGCAGGAAGGTGAGGATACAGTTTACGAGCTCCTCAGACAGGGAGATTCTGTATTTCCTGTAGGCTGAGGCATGTTCCTTGCCTTCGAAGAGACGATGAGCCATCTTGCTCTTCTGATGTGAGAAACACGTGTGACAGCGAAGCGGCAGTTTTCGCAGATTCCAGAACTTCAGCTCCCTTATTGTTGATTAACTTCAAAACCCAGCACTAACTTTGGTTAAAGGTTAGACAGCAAAGTCTGCTTCTCAGAGAATCAGGTCACAAGCATCAATCAGACTCAATAAAACAAGTTCCAGTTCCTCCACATTCCTTGTTCCTATGCATAATTATGTTCATGCAAATATCTAACAGTATGTTTTTTTCTATTATTCGATATTATTCGATAACGATAATTATCGCGATATAATTTTAACAAAACTTTTTACGCGTGGTACGCTTGCGCACTACATACTGCGCGGGTGCGCGTGCGTGTTGCAGACCGGGCAGCTAACAGATTTGTTTAATGTTTCTGCTGTTTGGCAAGTGATGTGTTCTTAAAATGAAGAGTTGTTTAATTCACCCATTAACGGTCTGGTTTCTTCAACTTTCACTCAGGAGAAAAAAAATCTGCCTTTAAACTTGAAATAAATAATGCTTTGACATTTATCGTGATAATTATCGATATCAACTGATATGATTTTTTTTTATCGCGATAATGTTTTGGGCCATATCGCCCAGCCCTACGCAGGCGGGACTTGAAATTCAATAAATCTAGGAGCTTTTTTCATAGCAACATACATTTATATTAAGTGATAATAATAGCGTTAATTTGGAGGGACAAGCAAGGAACGTCCATTACGGGATGGACAGGACACATACGAGTACATGACGGGACAGACACGCATGCTTCTCGCCGGCTGCCCGCGGCCCGTCTGCCTGTATTGTGGTCACTCAGAGGGCAGTCAGTGCCAGGCAGGCCGGGAGTGTACACGTTGCGAAAGTGTTAACACACTGTGTTTTACGAACTGCGGGATGAAGTCAAGCAGTTCAGGGAGG